CCTGAGTTTCCAAATTTTAGCCTTCTATCTATGTCCCGTTTATTTGGTAGCTGGTATTATCAGGCAATATCTTCTGCACATGCAATTGTGGGGCACTCAACGGGACACCTTCATCTACTTGTTTCTTCCTGTGATGTACACAATTCGCATCCCTACTCTATTTAAGTTATTCCTATTACAAAAGCGCCTTATTTCTACGTCGTCAAACGCATAATTGGTTTAGGCACTTTATCTCTTCAATATTCTCTGCCCTGTTGTGCTTAATTTTATGTCAGTTAGTTTATTATTTGCCCTTAGGAAAGAGTTTATTTCTGTATCGCATCAACCGACTTTGCATTCCGGTAGAAGACAAAAGTTGCCTTAATCTAACTAAAAAAAGTTTTTTCTGTTTTTTTCGTCGATTTGCTTTTGCTCGAAGTCTGTCGAGAAACTAATGAGGCTGTTTTGTCATCACAATATTTTCTCTTAGAGACCCTGTCACCTACTACTTTGTCGATTTTATGTTCACTCGTTCTATTTCTCTCCCTCTTTCGTATACTCTGCTTACTCATGCCTTTCAAGCTTGTTTGGATAGACCTATTAGTAATTATTGTAAGATTTTCCAATTACTTTGAAGAATATTTATTACTATTCAATGATGCTTGTGTTTCACTTATCTCGCACGCACTTCCCTTAGGTCGTAGATGTCTATGCCAGGATAATATGGCCGGAGGCTTGGTCGCAGTCTCCTTAAGCTCCTTACAATTGATGTATTGATAGCTTAACAAAAATGCGTAAAATGGCTACTAGCTGCAGATAAGCAGAGGGCTTGTTAATCGAAATGGCAAACAAATGTACAAGATTCACACAAAAAATGAGTGAATCGACAAAGCTGCATACTGTAGCATCTAGTTTCGTCGATACATTAAATACAAATTAAAAAAACTCATGATCAATGGAAAAAGGAGCAATGCCTTACCCTCGCTGTCATAACTACTATAACAGACTGCGACCAAAACCGATGTCTCGGCCTCTTGGTCTTCATATCCTAGTAAAATTTTGTCATCTATGCGTTCCTCAAAACCTTCTGGACAAAGAATGAAAAGAAAGCACTACTCCATTTGTGATTCTGCGTCTATTCATTGGCATAACTCATAAAAGTTCTATATTTTTTAATATATCATCGACATACTTGATTTCTTAGACTTTTTCCAGATCCATTATCATTAGATTATCCAGGGATTCTTCAAAATTTGGTCTTTAGTTAGCATTCTATTTTTTGTCTGGAGGCACGTCGATATAAATTTCCTATCTTTTCAGTTTTCACTAATTGTATTGCTGTCGGTTGAGGCTACAATCCAATTTCTTACTGATAGATATAAAGTTGTTCCGTAACCTATAATTTACCATGTCCCTTTTCATTCTGATCTTATAGTGTGTTTTATATGAAAGGACTTGTCACCTCAGAATGGTTTGGGTCCCTCGACAAGTTGGATTTTGTAATTTATTAGAGTTTATCGAGAGCATTTTGTCAAATGGCCTTTGTCATTCATCAGCCATCTATGACTGAGGATCGCATATTTTTACATGAACTGGTTACGACCGGGAAAACGTATTTTGGGTTTGGGATAATCATACTTTATTAAAAACCGTAGACATCCTAGGTCGCATAAGGTGATAAAGCTGTTAAGAAGGCCTCACGATGCCTACTCCTGTCAATTGGGAAAAATTCTCTATAAGTCTTTCATCACCTGAAGCGAACTTACGAGTCTATATTTCTTACTTAAGATCTATTGATTGTCTCAAGAACCTACTAATTTGCCTTACTTTATAATATATTTGTTTATATTTATTTGGTTTTCGTGTATTATTTGATTTCGTGCTGAACTCTAAGCTCATCTTATATCTTATGTGCTTATAAGGAGTTGCTTACTTTGTTTTAAATTAGTGTTATTTTGCATACTCTTATCTTTCTTTTAATCACTCTTTTTATTCCTCTTATTTCTCAAAATGTCCTTATTTGCATCGTAAATTAAAATTCTACTAACCCTTCCTCACAACTAATCATAATCTTATTATTATAGAGTCCAGTCACCGTTCCTCACATTTTCGCCCCTTTTATAGAAAAAATATGTCCACCCGAATGCGCCAATTATGTGCGATTTTTGAACCTCCCTTTTATCAGCATGAACATAACCTACAGTATGATAGCTATATCTCTTCGAAAATTGAGCAGAATTCTCAATACGTGCCCCTCAACTTTGCCATTTCTCATCATAGGAGTCCAATTAATTTCGATGCTTGTAAAAATTCTGATCAGGTGTCTAATTTGGCGTTCTCTCAGCATCCTTTTCAGAACATTAGTACTGTGCACTATCCCATTCCTTTGGAGCCTGATGAGAAAAACTACTGTTGTCCTACCACTTTTCAGCTGCCTGTCATTGACAATGTCCATAAAACAGGCTCTCCTCGCCTTAATTCGACTAAATTGTGTACTTCAGGACCGAAATTAGGAACTTTGCCAATGTCAAGTCCTTTAAAAAAAATAATGAAATCCAAAAAAGAGAGGGTTTTTCACCCAGATGCAAACTGCAACGCAAGCTGTGCTATTTCTTGGTCCCCACTACTGCGGAGAGATTTTGAACTTGATTCGCATTTGCAGAAGTTGGATGAGCTTCATCAGATTGCTCCTCAGTGCCCTAAGCGGTGCTTTAAGACGCACATGGGTGGTGTCGACTCTAATTCTATCCTCCCCAACTCTGTTGACCCATATATGAGCTCTTATATGCAGAAGATGGATTGTACTATGTCCGCAATGACAGGTTCTTTAAAGGAACGACAGCTGCAGAGTAAAACTCTCACCTCAGATCCCCTTCAAGAGGAAAAATCTCTCCTCTCTCGTCTGGGTTCGGTTTTAGATGAGCCCGTTCCAGTCTGTTCTTTTACAGGCGTCGCCTGTTTCTTGCCGCAATCAGCATTTGCTCAGGGAGCTCGTTTTCAGAAAAGCTATTCGGATGAAGAAGATAGGTATGTAGCTGAAGAAGAGGAGTTTTATGGAGAAAAACAAAATACGAGCGTCGCCTGTGTCTTGCCTCAACCACTATTTTCTCATGGCGCTCGTCTGCAGGGAAGCTATCAAAATGAAGAAGCTAGGCATGTAGCTGAGGAAGAAGAGTTTTATGGAGAAAATGGAAATGCACTTGAGAAATGGAGAAAATGGAATCATTTTCTTGGTTATCCAC